CTAGCATACCATTCTGCATTAACCGTTCTTTGTCTCTCAAGAGGAATAGTCGTAACATGGCCGGTTTTGGAGACAAACGTGGCCACCATTTTTTTTGCAACACTCCGTGAACGTGAAACGAACAAACTCGTGACTGGTTTTTTGTTTCGGGTTCGTACGCGTATATCCAGGATTCGTCACCTGATACGATGTTGTATACAGCATTTGAGGATCCTGCGTGGAATCTTTCGAGAGTTCTGACGCACCAAGTAACGCGAGCCGCTTTTTGCTCTTCACAGAGCGAATGCGGTATCCATCGGGAAAACAACTTTTTTACACCTAATTGTTCATGCAAGATTATTTGTATTTGACTCATGCCAATGTCTAAAGTTGCCTGAATTTCGCGGTATGTCACATGTCGATCTTCCTCAATCAGCTTACGCACAGCATCAACGTTTTCTTGGGTGACTGCAGTTTTTGGACGACCTTGACGGGGATCATCATTGAGCTTGACACGTCCACGTTGAAATTCAGCAAACCAGCGATAAATTGTGGTTTTGGATGGGGCTTCATTACCAAATGCAGAAATCATCCGGTCAACACACTGTTTTTGTGTTAAACCACTTCGAAAGTCATAATAAATCATCGCTCTTGAATTTTCTCGAGTCAATTCCATTTTCTCAACGACTAAACAAGTTTGACAAAACCTTGTGACAAGACCGAGAATTTTTTTTTAAATAAATAAATGGTATTCGATTTTTAAAACCAAGGAGTTTTCAATTAAAAAGATTTTAATATGACAGGAACAGTGGAAATATTCCATTCCCGATACTTTTAGTGCAGCCTATGTATTTGTAGTTGACTATTTGTTTTTATTATTATATAATTATTATTCATCATCATCATCATCATTACAGCCCTTCACAAGTCCACTGCTGAACATAGGCCTCCCCCAAAGAATGCCACAAAACACGGTCCTGAGCCACCTGCATCCATCGACTTCCTGCATGTCTTACCAGGTCGTCACTCCATCTCGTGGGGGGACGCCCTACACTTCGCCTACCGGTACGAGGCTTCCACTAATTATTATTACTTATTACAATACCCAGATCTCGATTTATAAGACTGTTATGGTTCTCTTGTTAAGCACCAAATTTTTATAGTTTTTTGTAGAACTGCATTAGTTCCTTAACAGTGAAATTCCAAACAGTTCTTTAATTTTTAACTAAGATTTTGTTTTGATTGAGAGAAATTAGACTCTAAGTAAGAAATTGACTATTAAAAACATGATTATTATAACAACTTTTGTTTTTTTTTTAATTATTCGAATAATTCGAATAATACCCGAAAAAAGTCGAACATTCGAATACCATAAATTTTCGAATATTTGCAAGGCCTAGTTGTCACCCGTGAGGACTAAGATGGAATGCCTCTTTTCCTGTAAAAAGGGTATCCGGTTCTCTACACTCACCATACGAAGCAGTGTTAAGCTGCTATTTTACGTTGGTATTCTATGAGAGCGTGGTCCTTCCCCGGTCGAGCCGACCCATTCGTGATACAGCTATACAACTAATATAGCTGCAGCATGGCTCTACCACGTATAAAACTTTTATTTTTATTTATAGTATCATTTAATATAATTTACGTATGTTTTTGTATATTATTTACAGTAGTATTAGTATTGTACGCACTAAGTTTGCCTTTTTAATATATTTTCCTTTGTGGGTCTACTGGAAGATATTTCAGCAAATTATGGAATAAGTAAAATCTTTGTACAAACTCACTATAAGAGTGTTCCTGTATCTTGTTGTGTGTACATAAATAAATTTAAAAAAATTTTTTTTTGCACTTAACACACATGTCACATTGTCTCCGGCTGTTCAGAATACTTGTCATAGAATATAGTAATATAACTATACTTGGACGGATACAATCTTGTAATTTTTTTAAATTAAGGAGTGTACAATATGGTACAAAGAAATTAAACTTAGAAGGAGTCTCAGTAATCTATTTTAATGTACTATTTAACTTTTACACAATTATCTTAAAAATATTAAATAGGACATGCTAACAGATTAAGAGGCCAGAAGGTAAAGGTACATTGAATAATTCAATTGAACAGTCGTTGGCTATTGCCAGTATTACGTATGCAAACGTAACGATATGCCATTGGTAGAAGTACAAATGGATTTATTAGAAAGAAATATGGACCTTAAACGTAAACAATTACGGTGAAACTTAGTACTATTACTTAGCCTAACAAATCAAACGTACCTACACGTTAGACATAGTAATTGCTATACGAGTTACATTACATCTTACTTAAATAATAAATACTTAAAACGCTAAGACGAAAGTGGCGCGAACATCTTCCCGGGCCCTTGAAATCTGAACTAAAGATTTCAAGCAGTACTTGCGTCGTGTATGGGCAGGATACATAGCCGATTTATAGCTCTTCTAATCATTCCATTAGAAGTTTTGACGTCCGCGACGCGGGGAACACCATCAGAGCCAGGAAATATTTTGTTGATTCGCCCGAGACGCCAGCAGAGAGGTGGCGAATTTTCTTCCTTTATCAAAACTAAATCGTTTAATTGCAGGTCCCTGCATTTCGCTCGCCATTTTGTGCGCTGTTGTAGTTCTGCTATATATTCGCGTGTCCATCTTTGCCAGAAGTGCTGCCTCACTTGCTCGAGACGCTGGAATCGATCGAGACGTCCGCTGTTGATGTCCACGAAGCTGGGTGATGCAATAGACGTCAATGGCCTGCCAATTAAAAAGTGAGCCGGTGTAAGAGGTTGGAAGTCATTTGGTGAAGGACTGAGAGGACACAGGGGTCTGCTGTTCAGGATGGCCTCGATCTGTGCAAACAAAGACGATAGTTCCTCAAACGTCAGATGCGTTTTTCCCATAATTCTATAAATATTGAATTTGGCTGATTTAACGCCAGCCTCAGCGAGACCATTAAAGTGAGGAGCGTATGCAGGGGAGAATCTAAACTCAATGCCCCGAGAAGCAGCAAAATCATAAATAGAGTCATTGTTTGATTGCAAAAAATTTTTTAGCTCTTTAGCAGTCGCGGCAAAATTTCTGCCATTATCACAAAAAATTGTCTTTGGCTGTCCTCTGCGAGCGATGAATCTTTTAAGAGTCAACAAAAAGGCATCTTTGGATAGCTCACTTACAGCTTCTAAATGTATACATCTATAACGAAAACAGATAAATATACACAGATAACATTTTGTTATTTTGCATCCCCTTCCCTTGCGGTCAGTGATAAGAAATGGGCCAGCAAAGTCAATGCCAACCGTGCAAAATGGATAATCAGGCATTAAGCGATCGGAGGGAAGATTACCCATAATATTAGTCATTGGTTGACCCTTAAAGCGACGACATACTAAGCAATTATAGGTCACTTGCCTAGCTAATTTTCTACCGCCAGTCGGCCAGTAGCGCTCCCTAATAGAGGCAAGAAGCTGCTGAGGTCCCCGCATGGAGCAGTTGTTTATGTTCCCTTTGAAAAATTAATTCAGTTAAATAGTGTTTTGCATTTAAAATGAGGGGATGCTTCTTATTATAAGCATAAGTGGAAGCATCGATTCTTCCGCCAACTCTCAGAATGCCACTCACACATCTAGAAATGGAGTTAGAGAAGATAAAGGCGCCTTGGATGACAAGGCCCCTTTAGTACGAAGAAGCTCTATTTCATTCTGAAAGGACTCACTTTGAGCTATTTTAATTAAAACTGTTAATGAATTTTGAAGTTCTTCAACTCTAAGAGGACCTAATAATTTGCAGCTAGGATTACGACAGTTATGTATAAATCGAAAAACTCTAGAATATACTCTTTTTAGCACAGTTAAGTCAGAATACCTTTTAAAATCAAATGGGGCCTTAGTGCAAGCTTCCGCGACTAAGGTGGAAATGGATTGCATTTCAGGCAGCTCTACGCTACAGGATTTGAATTTTGGCCACTCAGCCTCCGGTTTAAGTAGAAATGGTGGACCATCCCACCATATAGAGGAGGCGCACACGTCTTGAGGATCTACTCCGCGAGAGGCAAGATCGGCTGGATTTAGGGCGGTAGGCACATGCCGCCAATTCGCGGTGCTTGAAAGCTCAGTTATAGCTGCCACCCTATTTGCGACGAAAAGCTTAGCCTTATCACATGAGTTTAGCCAACCTAATACTACACTAGAGTCCGTCCAATAAACTTGAAGATGAATTTTGCACCTTAGAGCTTGAATGACAGTAGAGCCTAATTGAGCACCCAAAAGAGCAGCGCAGAGTTCAAGTCTGGGGATAGTCGTAGCCTTAAGGGGCGCTACACGAGTTTTAGCGCATAAAAGTTTAACAGTTATGTCACTATTAGCGTTACACGATCTCAAATAAATGCACGCGCCATATGCTATTTGCGAGGCATCGCAAAAACAATGCATTTCCATATAGATTGGTTTATCAATTAAAATCCATCTCGGGATTTTTAGAGAAGACAACGACTCTAAATGGAGAATGAAACGCTGCCAAGTCGATTTTATTCTTTGAGAAACGGGTTCGTCCCAATCTAACCTTTCAGCCCACAATTTTTGTAGCAAAATTTTCGGCTTAATTGTGCACAAAGATAATAGCCCTAAAGGGTCAAAAATTTTAAAAGTCGATGACAATATGGATCTTTTAGTGAAAACTGTCGTAGGGGTATATTCGATTTGAAAATGTATTTGATCTAAGTGTGGAGACCACCCTATACCTAGAGTGTTTGTAGCATTACTGATAACTAGATTGCCTTCTTCCTTGTTTATAGAGCTACTCTCGAAGCTCAAATAAGTTAGATCTATATTTTCTTAAGTTGAAGCAACCTTTTTTGAGCTCATTGGCAACCGAGCGCTGAATGTGAAGCAGTTCTTGTTTACTACGAGTATCTGCTCCTATAAGCAAATCATCACAATAAAAGTCCTTTTGGATGATTGTTTTAATGTTCGAATCTTCACATTCCTCGCCAAGCTGCCACAAACACCTGGTACTCAAAAAACTCGCGCTAGAAAAACCATAAGTAAGAGTATGCACTGTAAAGTTTGAAGAGGATCGGACTCCTTATCACGCCACAAAATTAACTGAAGGTTTCTATCCGACTCTCGGACATTAACTTGACGATACATTTTTTCAATGTCGCCCGAAATAATGTATTTGTACAATCTAAATCGTAATAGAATATTAATGAGGGAGTCTTGGATAACAGGGCCTTTCATCTGTAAATCATTAACTGACATACCAGAAGTAGTTTGCGCGGAGGCGTCGAATACTACACGAAGCCTTGTAGACTCGCTCTTTTCCTTCATCACCGGGTGATGAGGAAGAAAATATGCATTAATTGGCTTTTTTATAGGAGACGGCGAGAGATGACCAAGCTTGGCGTATTCCTGAATAAATTGAACGTAGAGCTCCTTGAGTTGTGGCTTTAATTTGAAACGCTTCTCTAAATTCATAAACCTTTTTTTGGCCAGTGAATATGAATTGCCAAGACAATTTTTTTTAATTCGGAGAGGCAACCCTACGCAAAACCTTCCATCATGATCACGAACGGTATTCATTAAAAAATGCTCCTGGCAAAGCCTTTCCTCATTTGTTAGAGCCTTAGTTTGTGGGACACTTTCTAACTCCCAGAATTTAGATAATTGATCATCTATGTCAGTTAACTCTTGCTCCTTTGTTAAGAAATTGCATTGAAATTGTTTTGTGGATATATTAGATTTAATGGGCATGGGGCCAGCGATATGCCAACCAAGCTTGCGAGCTACGAACGACCGGGTTATTTTTTCCTAAAGAGCGCTGCTGCGACCCAATAAGGTCCCAGAACAAATCAGCCCCTATTAACATGTCGATAGAAGAAGGCTCATAAAAGTAGCGATCTGCTAGTTGGATGCCCGATAAATGAAGATGTTTTGTATCAAGTCGCGCCTTTGGTAGATGTTCTGATATTGTGGGTATAGTAAAACAATACGTAATAACATTGTAGGAATCATCATGAGATTGTAGGCGGATAGCGCAACGCTCCGTCTTTATATTAAGCTGCTTGTTGCCAATTCCTATAACATTTATATTTGATGGCTGAGAAGCCAGCTTAAGTCTTTGTTTTACAGTATCAGTAATAAATGAATACTGGCTCCCACTATCAAGTATTGCTCGCACAGTTATAGTATTTTCGGTTTTCGGATTAGAGATTCGGACCTTGGCGGTGCATAATAAGACTTCAGAAGCGCAAACTGCTGACATTGACAACGTTTCATTTGGAACAGAGTTAGCATTTTCGGTATTAATATCCAAGTGAAGCATTGAGTTATGTCTTTTTTTACAAATACGACAAAAGATATGAAGCTTACATTCTCGTGCGTTGTGACCCGGTCTTAAACAATTTTTACAAAGATTCAATGACGTAGCGGTAGTAACCCTCTCTTCAGGAGTCTTAGATTTGAAATCTGGACACTCGAAGATACGATGATCACCCTTACATACCATACATTCGAAAGTCCTTTTCGATGGTTTACAGGAAGGAGAATTATTTAGACTAGAGCCTTTAGAAGTAACGATCAGCGATTTCGTTTGCCCTTTACTAGAAGAAGTCGTCACCTGTTTGGTTTTATTACGATGAACGCTCTCAAGAACATCTGCGCGACACTTTAAAAAAAATGAATAAATCCTTAAGCGAAGGAATTTCAGGGAGAGTATTTCTATGCTCCTCCCATTTTAAAGAGGTAGTGCTATCTAACCTAGCAGACACAATATGTATAATTAAAACGTCCCATTTTTCGGTAGGCAATCCCAGAGTACTGAGAGCCCGCAAGTTCTTTGTTACGTGATCAATAATAAAGCGTAAGGACTTGTCGCTCTCTCGCTCACAGGTAAAATTAAATAGCGAATTTAAATGATTGCTAATTAATTGCCTTTTGTTGTCAAATCGCTCGCAGAAGAGCTTCCAAGCCTCATTGTAGTTTTGATGTGAAACTTCTAAGTTGCAAATAACGCGAGCCGCTTCGCCTTCCAAATAGGAGATTAAATAATGAAACTTGTGAATGTTTTGAATTTTATCATTGTCATTAATCAATGAACCAAAGGTTTCCTTAAACTCTAACCATTTTTGTGTAATATGTGCCGTCAAACTTAGGAATTGGTATTACAGGCAGCTTAAAACTCACGGATTCATTAACTGAAGTAAAATGGCTATCGTTATTTGAACAATGAGGGCTGGGTTGGTTAGGCTGTAAGCCCCTTTGCACTAAACTACGACCAATAGAAATGCAGTTATCAAAATCTTGTTCAATTAGCTCACGCGAAATCAACTCAGTATCTAGATCAGAGGCTGCTATTTTCTCCTCGATCTGGTTTTGCAACTCCTCGAACTCAGAGAATAAAGACTCAATTCTTGATAATTTCATCGCACATTTACTTAACTCTAAGTCTGAGATATCCTTAATTGATGTTAAGTCATCTAAGTAATTTTTAAATTTAGTTATGCGACCCTTTATGCTACTACGTTTTAAATATAATGTCTTAAGATCCGTCTCAAACCTACCAGAATCAACCATTGCAATGAAGTTATCGAAGGTAAGCAAGTAAAAATTATATAATAAAAAATTAATTGCATACGATACGCTCCTCACTTTGCAGCCACTGAGCAGCAACCGCCGAAGATTATTTTCTTAACAGCTGTAGGGCAGTCGCGTTGAAGGTGACCAGCGGACAGAGACAAAGGTTGCAGCAGAGTTTAGAGCTGGGTAGGGTTAACAGGTACAACGCAATTATACGCAACTCCCCCTGGAAATAGAGAGATATAAAAGCGGCTAAAAACTGTTTGTATGCGAACACGAAGGAATGAGGGACCTCTTGGGGGTGAATTTCAATAACTTAAGGACAAATAATTGTATTACGTAAGGTAAAGCCTCAGTACTTAATTATAAAGCAAATAATGAGCCCTTGAAAAATTTAATGGGGAAAGATGACTTGTTTTAAAATTTGAGGGTATGAATTTACGATAGACAAGACTGTGAATATATTTAGCCCGAAATAGCTTAAAATACAAATTATCTGGGCTTAAGAGTGCCTTCTGGTTTATTATACAGACTAGAAGCTAGCTAATCACTCACGTCAAAAAGGGACTATCGCCTTGTAATGCAACAAATAATTAAATGGAAAAGGGAAATATGAAAAGGAACGAGCTCACTCTTTAAAAAAAAAATGTCCAAGCGCAGCGGTTCCGCAAGCAAGCTGTAGATGCCGGTCTGCTGGTGTAGACTGCGAAGACACTGGTGCGAAGCTCCTGTTTATTCCCGAATCCCGAAGCTGGAAGTCGTAGTGGTCTGGCTGCACGGCGCACGAAGTATAAGTTGATCCCGTAGTATTCCGGTAGATCTAGGTACTGAGTTAGCGTGGCGTGGCTATGACCTCTTTGCCCTTCACCTTTGATCAATGTAGGTTAATCTTCAAAATCCGACGAATAATTAGCAAGTCCTGTCACGGTCGCCACTTTTGTACAATATGGTACAAAGAAATGAAACTTCGAAGGAGTCTCAGTAATCTATTTTAATGTACTATTTAACTTGTACACAATTATCTTAAAAATATTAAGTAGGACGTGCTAACAGATTAAGAGGCCAGAAGGTAAAGGTACATTGAATAATTCAATTGAACAGTCGTTGGCTATTGCCAGTATTACGTATGCAAACGTAACGATATGCCATTAGTAGAAGTACAAATGGATTTATTAGAAAGAAATATGGACCTTAAACGTAAACAATTACGGTGAAACTTAGTACTATTACTTAGCCTAACAAATCAAACGTACCTACACGTAAGACATAATAATTGCTATACGAGTTACATTACATCTTACTTAAATAATAAATACTTAAAACGCTAAGACGAAAGCGGCGCGAACAAGGAGTTGATTGTTAGATTTCGGTGTTGTAGATACCTAGTAGTTTTGCGAACTATATAATTCTTCAACAGTATATAGTACGAAGACCCGAAATATAGTACAATATTATATTACGGTTGGCAACCCTAGTTAAGTAGGAAGTGAGATTTTTATAAATATTTTCTAATGTAATTTTACTACGTAAATTAGAAGGTAAGCTGTTTATTAATCGGGGAATTAAATAAGTAGCTGATCGTTTAATTATTGTTCCGGTTCTGGATGTTTATCCTTGTGCTATTTATATTTGTAAATTGTCTCCATGATACAGAAGAATTTATATTCGTTACTTCAGTTTTTTTTAAACTGACTGTATGAATAAAACTACGATAAATAGTTTAACAAGAAAAAACAAATAGATTTTTTTTATTTGCTTAAATTTTCGACAGAGGCAAACAAAACAGATGTGTAACAATAAACACGGTAAAAGCGTCCGACGATACGCTATGAGTAGGGCAGCCATATTGTATAACATTATCTATAGTAAAATTTTTAACATGGATTTTTTCCCATAGCATGGAGGTATTTTACATAAATTGTACATAAGGTGGTAGAGCACGCCTCGTTAGCCATGTGGTCTTAAGCGCGCCTGCTGATTCTTAGGTCCCCATTTCGAATCCCGGATTGGGTCAAAAAAAATCAGGAAGTTTTATTTTATTTTATTTTTTTATTCCTGTCTCCTGCGCAAATGAACTAGTCTCCGTCGAAGCTAGCCGTGACCCATATTCTGTCTTGAGAACATTATTATAGCACGAATGAAACACCTCGGTTCACTAGGTAATAGAAAATATGCTATGGTAACAGAAATAGGTAAAGTAGTCCAAACTTTGTCGATGTCAACGGTAACGCAAACCCAAACTTATCACATTATCAATTGATATAGCTGGTGTTTTTTGAATATACACTATTACAGACATACAGTAACAATGATTTTTCCCCTACCGAAAATCGCTCAACTCGGCTAAAGAAGTTTTCACTACAAATAAATCAAAAATCCTGCATGAATCAATCGCGTGGTCACCGCACTAGCTTAATAAACAGAGCATCTATCAGTCGACGTCTCTATTGCGTTCCCAACTCAATTGTCTACCGTCTACACAATCATCACTTCTCACTACGTTTGTTAAAATATTGTATATTGTATAATAACACTGCAGTATATAATACTTGATGTACAGTATTGATTGTTATTACACGACCGTCTCAGGAGATAATATTTTTCGAGTAAATATGTATGTATGTTGTACCGTATAGTGACGGTGTAAGAATATCCACTACATATCATCCCGTGGGTGTCGTGAGAGGCGACAGAGGTAGACAGAACAGGAGATGGGCAGCAGCGTCTTCCTAATAACGACTAAAAATTAAAAAAAATCGGTTACCAACACATTAGCCAAGCGTGGTAGCTTTGTCTAATATCCCCCCTATGAGGCAATCTATGGTGGAGGCCTATGTTCAGCAGTGGACTTTAATAGGCTGTAATGGATGGATGTATAGAAGATAATCTACCAGGAGCACATGACGCACTGAGAGGTGAAATTTTCAAATCAACAGTAATATTACAACTATGTCAAAATATCCCCCCTTATGAGACAATCTATGGGGGAGGCCTATGTTTAGCAGTGGACTTTAATAGGCTGTAATAGATGGATGCATAGAAGATAATCTACCAGGAGCACATGACGCAATGAGAGGTGAAATTTTCAAATCAACAGTAACATTACAACTATGTCAAATATCCCCCCCTATGAGGCAATCTATGGGGGAGACCTATGTTCAGCAGTGGTTCAGCATCCATATTTGTTGGTGTTTGATACATTTGTAATAATGCATTATGGTATTTTTACGCTAGCTTTCTGTAAATACAGCCTATCAAAAGTCCCCTGTCGAACATAGGTCTCCGCCTTAGATAGCTTCACAGTGCACAGTGCAGTTTTTATTTTTAGTTATTATATTTTAAGTAAGACGTTGCTGCCCATGTCCTGCTTTTTTTCCCTTTGAAACCCCTTACGAAATCCACGGCACGATATATGGTAGTAGAGATTTTTACACCACCACTGCATCGTATAGAGTCTACGCTAGGTCGTAGAGTTACGCTGCTAGGTAATTAAAACATTGATATATAATAAAATATCGATTCTTCCCACGAGACACGTTACAGACACCGATTGAAAAGCCGGACCTTCGAGTTTATAAAGCTATCAGTGCGTGGAGCGAGGTCGAGATATCACAAATCCGTGTGTAGGCTTGTAATGGCAGATACCATACTAAATAGGTTAACCGACGAGGTTTCTTTATAATCGACTTTAATTTTCTATCGACTTCAAAAAGGAGGAAGTACCCAATTCGACTGTATGTTTTTTATGTGTGTTACCTCATAACATTTTTATGGGTAAACCGATTTCGATGATTCTTTTTTTTTATTTGAAAGCTGGTGTTTCACAAGTGAAGTTGCTTCTTTAGTATTTAACACCTGCAGCTAACTTCAAACAAAGATGGCTACAAATCTAACTAGCTGACTCTTAGGATCAAGATGGACTGTCTCAGAGCTATATATACTGGCCCTCAATAACCTTTAGACCTGAACATAGCAAGTATTGCCACTCGCCAGCAGAAATAGGTACCTATCCAGATGGACTTCAAGACAAAACAGGACTCGCACCACCAGTAAAAAGGAAGGAAGTTCTCAATTCAACTGTAACTTTTAAAATTAAATCTTTTGAAACGCAAAATTTCAAGATATCGTCATGTTTTGAAATAATAATAATGTTTATTTTTCCATGTATACCAGTTAACAATATGTCTATTTATAAACTACAAAGGAATATTTGATCTTATAACATGAAAAATAGCATCCATTGCCGAACTAGGCGAAAACCTGTATTTCAGCGTATGGCGCCACTCTACAGACATGATAAACATAAAAATTATTTATTTATATTATGGAAAATTTATAAAACTTTGTTCTTTATATTACATATAAGTGGTATAAAAAAATGTAAAATAGAAAAAAAATGTAAAATGTACCTCTTTTATATATGGTGTTAGTGTACGTGTGTGAGTGTGTGCGTGTAATAGGGTGTGTACGAGGTGAAGAATACAGTTTAATGAATACCTTAAGTTACCTAACAATAGAAGTTCGAACACAGTCAACGAACAAAATGTAAAAGTAACTTTAAATTTATCCGAGTTACACTTTTATTCAGAACATAATAATTGCACATAATAATATTACCTATTACACAAAAAATATTTATTGTTAAGTTATATATAACTAAATAAATATATCTCGCTGGTTCCTCCCAGGACAGGAGTTACTTTCAACACGTATTATGTAATAATCAATATTTAATAAAAAACTATACTATTCTATTCTATTCTATACAAATTTCTTTCAATTCATTTTAAATAGCTCCATCTTTTTATAACTTTGCCCACCGAAAAAAAAAACAATATGTTAGTAATTTTTTTAATTTAACGTTTTCATGGAAAACGTCAACGTTAAAAACGTTAAATGTATAAATAAAAATAAATCTTCATTCGCCTAAGCAAATAAACTTCCTACAGACTGAGTTTCGATCACCGCAGCCAGTCTCAACGGAGACTAGCCATCTG